AAGGGGAATAAATTCTTAGTAATCAAATATTTAAATTACCCAAAAGTTCTACCAGCCATACAAGAGTGTAGCAAAATCAAAGAAAGCTTGAAACCTGTTGTACAAAAACTCTTTCTAAATGAGTGGCGGAGCAAGAAACCCCACTCATGTATTCATTCATCAGTTCCAAACGTCTGTTCGGTGTTAATTAATCCGCCAACCAAAGTCAAAATATTATGAAATGTGATACAAAATGATGCAAAGTGCAATAGCGAACACAGCTTTCGCGCGGAGGGGGAAGGCGCAAACGATGCGTGCGGCGGCGGTGCTGACACAGGCGGCTGTTTGTCTGCACGTGTCTGGCATTAGGCGGCCGTTGATACATTCGTCAAAATAACCGTACGTTTGTAAAAAGTCTCAAATGGACCAACAGCAACAAATAACACCCTCTAAGCAGTCCCAACGATGCGTGAGATTGAGTGGTTGGCAACGCGACAAAGCGCTGTCAGCCAACCAGCGTGCCGTATTTGGCACATGGGTTAACGGGATAATGATGATGAAAAGGTATACACAATCGACCACTAAGCTCGCAAAATGCGGCAGTGATGAATAATAACCACATAATAACAGTCAACAAAGAGAGACATTATGTCTAAAAATTCCAGCGAGATTTGCACTCCTGATGGGTGTTGCCAAGGACGAAAAATCTTGTGCCTTTGGCTGTATGTATGTATCTATTGTACTGAATTCCCGTTTTAGATAGTGATTTTATTGTTGTTTCTGTGTATTGTTGGCATGAGCCTATAACGAATACGAGCCGTTTCCTAGCAACTTCTTAATGAGATTTTTAACGCCGCTCAGAACATATTGAATATTAAGCGGATGTGTGGGAAATTTGAGTTGTGCATTTTAATATATTATTTCAGTTGATTTAATTATACACTAACTACCCATAAAAATATGCAGTAAGCTATTTTAACGCGTTGGTGCAGATCACCTCGGCCAACACCTGTCTAACACCTACCTATGTACACCTCAAAGGATATAATAATAATTAGTAGATAAATATAGGTATGTATATATGGTCACCGTTTCTTTGTTGCATAATTATGCATATTGATACATCTAGACGTCTGCGAATTTATAAACCTTAATAGTATTTGGGCTACCCATTAGCGTCGGCGATGCGTCTGGCACGTGATGAACATGATGCAGCGGTGTTGATTTGGGATAAGGTAGGTAATTCACTGTATAACAGATACATATTGTAGAAATAAATGATTTTGTTTTCAAAATTCTGAGAAACTTTGCATCCGGTGTTTTTCGAGGTTTGCCTATCAGCTAGTTGTGTAGCAATAACGGATCGGTTAGACGCTAGGAATATCTAAGTTCCGTTTTTTCTCTACAAAATAAATCTTTGTAACTTTCTTCTTTTGCTTCCAGACGTTAGCGAATATAACTATTTTTTCATCTAATAAGAAATGAATCTTAACTTGAAAAAAAAAGTGTAAAATTCCTCATACCACTGAATGTAAAGGTCTCGAACTTAATCGATACTTTTCCAGTGTCGTAAAAATCGAACGAGGATCAGAAGTAGATCCATCTAATTCCTAAAGCGGAGGTATTCGAATCGAACAAAAAAATTAGTTTCTATCTCATTTCATCGCGGAGCTGGCGTGGTTGTTCATACATATCTAACTTAATGTACAAGTATGTAAGTATGTATTTATAGATATACTTGTACATAGTAACCAATTTTAAAGCAGCACAATCTAATTCCCGGTATTTCATAAAACCTGTATACTTTCTTTCTTTATAGGTCATTCATATATCGTTTAATTCATATTTTTCATCACTCTCCAGTTTACTTTTTTTATTATGTTATTGTTGTTTAAAAATATATTTCGACATCTTTTTGTTTTGGGTTTCCATTTTATTTTTGAAGTTTTATTACATTTTTGTTGTAAAAAATACTCGCACAAATTTTTCAGCCAAAGTCTCCTATTTTAAATACATACAAATGTACGTATGGTATATATTATATTATAAAAATGTTAGTTTAATAGTTAATATATGGAGCCTAGTTTTGACAATTGGGATACAAAGCCATTAGTATATCTGTAGATTAGTAAAACTTTCTTGCCTCAAAATCGACGACCATAATTATTTTTACTACGTCCACAGCAAATCGATTGACGTTAAGTCACGGAACCTCTGAGTCTGTTGTACAGTTACCAGTTTTCTTAAAGGCAGAAAAAATATTTTAGATTTGAATTGATGGGGACATTTATTCACCACCAGCCTCCTACGATCTTCTACTTGTGTTTTCGGTAAGCCGATTCTTAAAAATTTTAGAATTGTGCAGAATATTGCAGAAAAGGATTAAAAGTAAAAAATCCTATTTCTTATAATAATTTTGCTAATGAATGAACCAAAGCAACACTTTATTCATCACAAACATTAATTGTTTATTTATAATAAGCCACACACAAAAAAGTATGACAAAAAGACAAAATAAGGCCATAAGTAGGTGTTAAGTGGAAGAAAATCCGCTTAGTGGATAAATTAACATTGATGGAAAATAGTAGGGAGAAAGGGTCAGCCCTTCTACACATGCGAGTATTCATTTTGTATGTTGTATGATTAGACCTCTCACACATTGGCATGCTTCCACACGATTAGTTGGGATTATAGTCGAGAGAGTAGCGTGAATGTTCATTTGAATGAGTGACTCGCGTTGATTTTTTCTGTCACATACATAGTATGTATGTATGTATGTACATACGAGTATAAAAATATGTATGTTTATAATGCTTTCGGATGTATACATAGTTTCACATGTTTTGTTTGTGTTAATATAATAAAAAATCGGTTTGGCTCGCAGGTTATTTGAAATATTATCTTTAGATGTCTATAGTGCCAAAAAAGGTTACTGATTTTTGAGGATTCCACAGACTATATGTCAAATAAAAAATACAATTTTTAATAGAATTACTATTTACCATTATTTATATGCAGATACAAATATTTAAATAAGAAATATTCAGATCTCTGTCGTTATTAATATATCTTTCTGCCGAGTGCACGTTTAGCAATTTAATTGATTATTTAATTTGAATTAATACCCCCTATTACCAAATCGATTTCATTGAATAATATTTTTACACAGGTGACAACCGTTTCCAAAAATATTTTTAATCTAAGCTTAATTTCCTCAGTGTGATACACGTATTGTGGTACTTTTCATCTTCCATTTTAAATTGTCTTGTGTTTTTAATTCGAACGATCTTTGACCTTTTTGTTTTTAGTAATTCGAGAATTCAAAAAATGAATTGAGAAAATGTATTCAAATTGATTCAGCCTTCCCTATTGTAGCGCTTTTTATACTGCGACCTAGTTTACTACCGTGCATAAAGAATCTTCACTTCAAAAATATTGCTATAGCTACATATAACAGACGATTTTCTTCAGGCGATACCTCTGATTGAAAAGGAAATGAGTTGCAAGGAGTACTCTGAAAATTTTACTACTTGCTGAAATAAAAGTTTTCCGTAATTGAGCTTATATCTGCCGAATTGTTGTCTACTTAATATTGTTATTACTGTGTTCTAATTTTTGAAGAATCGAAGTTTCCATTGAACAAACCATAAAATACCAGGACAACTCATCTTTGGTTTCATATTTTC